TTTATTGTTAGGAAAATAGGATAAAAGGATCTATTACTCCCTCAAAGAAATGAAAATTAAATAAGCTAAAATCCATTTTATAATCGATTTTAACATCAGAAAATGTTTGTATGCTAGCTTGAAATCTAGTATTTTGACTTGGTACGTTCGTCATCATTGCGATATTTTGTTTCGACATTTTGTTCATGTGATGTATTTTCATATTCATATACCTTCGGCTTAAAACTTGCGTCGACGTTGTCCGATATCTAGCCTCCATTGTCTTCGGTCCTCCCATTGACCATCCTCTATGTTTTTTGAGCTCATCGCTTTGCGAACTCCCTCGTGCCATGTTCTTTTTGGATGCCCTCTTTACACCAGATTAGTTGTTTTCTTTCGATGTCAGCTATGATCGTGTCTTGAATGACAGCTGTTTCGGATAAAGGCACGGTGTTGCCGAAACAGCTGCCATTTAAATATATTTGTGTGAAAATCTGAACAAAGTTTGTTCTATTTAACTATTTCGATATAATCTATTAATTGAATGTATAATTTTGTATAATTATAATTTTGTGTAATTTTGACACTCCGCTTTGTGACCTTTTTGTAGATGGATAGATAGCCACTTTCCATTGACTAGGAACTTCCTCACCATTCAGGCACTTAAAGATCTGTGTTAACGCTGTCATTAGTTTCGTAGTGCAGCTTTTTAATAATTCTGAGTACATTCCCTCTATTCCACACGACTTTTCATTTTTTAGTTTGGTAACCGCTGTTCTTACTGTTTCTTCTTCAATTTGCACTTGTTCTCCTTCAATGTTAACTGACATCTCCTGCTGAATATATTGTCTTCTTGTTTTTATCAATAGTTCTTTGTAGTGCTGTATCGACTGTTGTTATTAATGAATCGCCATGCTTCTGTGCACCTTCTTCCGCAAATATATCTGATATTTTCTATACCACATTTCCTTTTTTTTGGTGATTTATTTCGTGTTTCTTGCTCAGCCCTGTTATATGCTTCTTTATCTTCTATGGATTTAGTATTTAACCATTTCAGGTACAGTTTCTTTTTCGTGTTTATTAACTTTTCAATTTCGTCTAATCACCATAGATTATTGCTTTTTGGCTGTTGTTGTTTCATGCTCAATGCTTTGTGTATGCTTCCTATTATGTTGTTGTAACTTTCTTCGAAAGACATATTCTCAGACAGACGTCTTTGGTATAAGTACTGTTTGCTTCCGTTGAAGAGGCTGTCCAATTTATATTTCGGGTAATTTGTGTAAATTGTTTTTAATTTTTAAAGTGGTAGTCCATCTTAGCTCGTAACAAGTAAGGATCAATTCCACATATGGCTCCTCTCTGAACTCCTCGTTTTGCACGTTACATTTTGTTTCGGGTAACGATATTATGTCTACTTTTAGTTTGTCGACTTCTGCCACTATCACTGACATTTTCCCCCCACTTACATGAACGTTCCACCCCAAATCATATTCCTTTCCTTAGCATTTTTTTTTAATTTGGATTTTTTCCGAGTGATGAAGGATCAGTCCATAGCCTCAACGCCCAACCTGGAGGACCAAATAATTTGTGATCAGAGTTGTTTTATCCTAGCTTTTAATAACCCAACATCGATAACTACAAGGCAGTAGCTTCGTCTGTACCTTCAGTGTGCTATCATCAGGACCAGATGAACCCTGGTTTTTTAGAGAGGTGTTACTCCTCGATCACTCCTCCTTCCCTAGCTTTTGATTGGCGGAGTTTCATATTCGTTTTAACAGTAATTTTTCTCTAAATCATTATAATCATTACTTTCTGTTGCTTGGTTAAATAATTCTTCCGGTATAAAATTACTGTATTTATTGATGTTGTTTGACAAAACTCCTCCAGATGTCGTCCAGATGTAACCGATGTCGTTAATTGAAAAAAAAACTGTAGTCAGTGCAGCTGACATAAGATATTCTTTTGTTGTGAAACATTGCGTAAAAAACTATATAACTATTCGATCGAAACACGCCGTCGTTTTGTCACGGCGCGCGTCGCAGCGCCCTCTGACAGGTGTTTGCAGACGCTAAACGACGCGTCTGCACCGGCAATTCAACCTTATCGAATTCATTACAGTTTATTAATGCAGTTATCAGGAAACCAATTACGATTAATGACACCGACTCGGCCCACAAAGAATTTCACACAATCTTATTAACGCCGAGACTGAATCTAGTTACCGACGCCACCGTCGACGTCGCGGCGGCGGCCCCGCCATCCAAACATTTACATAATTTCGACGTACAACTTCCGACGGTTCGCGTTCGATACGTTTCGATGAGTTTAACCGATATGATTAATCGTGTATTATTCGTCTGCGACAAATCGTGGACGATTGTGGGCGGGGCCAACCGTAATGGACCCGCCCCTATGGTCTCGTAGTGGGCGCGACGGCAGATCCGACTGGTTTTATGGGCGTTTTCCTCTCAATGTTACATATATCAATATTCTTACTGATTTTTTTAAATTCATAAACAGTAATTTTTAATAGCTTTAAAAGTAATAATGCTCAACAGAACAAAATCCATTTACAGAGCGACGTATAGAAATATCAAAACACAAATAATATTTAGTAACCAAATTAACTAAACTGTCCAACAGCGATATGCCCTTTGGTACACAAGTACATTGAGGTTGTAGGCAGTTAACGTGGACCAGATCTCAAACAAATGTTTCTGAATCCATTTAGTTTGCAGTTGAATATATCACATACATTTGACAAGTTATTACAATTAGAACACGCTACAGTATAACAGATTTTTTCTGACCCTAATACAGTGACGCGTATTCAAGTTTAGATCGAACAAACCTAAAGTTAAAATATTTCTAAAAGATATACAATTATGCACAATGAAACCATAATTACCAGTAGCTTCAGATACAGTTTTTGCTATGTGATTCACGAAGGTAAGTTTTTGATCGAACTACGCCCCCAGATCTACAATCTCTATAAAAAGATCGAGAATTAAATTTGAAATTCTATATGGAATCTTTTCGACTAAAACTCAGAAATCATTTGAGGTTACACTGCTTCGCACTCTAAAAAGTAACGCAGTCAGCAACACAAGAAACATTTTTAAGTCATAAATAACAGGGTTTGAGTATTGCTGAGAGTTGAAGCAACGTCCTCAATAAATATTAGAAACAAAAAGGGTCCTAAATGAGAACCCGGTGGCACCCCTGGCGTTGTGACGTATTTATTAGATTTATACCCATTGTCGTACACGTCCAGTCACTATTGTAATTTCTAAGAAACATTACTGTACCACGAGCAAATCCAAATCTCTAAATTTTTGAAGTAAAGCAGCGAGACTAATCTCGTGAAAAGCCTTACTAAAATCGGTATATAAAATATCTACCTGTCCTTGACTATCTAGTACTCTTGTTATTTACTCTGCAAAGAGTTATCTTCCAAATTTTTGGCTCTCTGGATCACATTATCGATTGATCGATTCTGTTTGTTGGATTGTTGGATCTACACAATTTAATATAGACTTGACTTCATGTATGTCGCTTCGCTCCCATAGATATTTAGTCTGCTGCTGATATGCTTCAGGGACACCATATATTTCGTTTTCGCTTGTCACCATCAATGATTTCTGCGATTTCTTCAATATCCGGTTTGTTCACCTCTGCGTCGGTGTAAGAGTTCTGCTTAACAACTTTTATGTCACTCTGCAGTGGAAAAATAAGGGATTTTAAGCCCTTAAGTTCGTTGTCAAACTCTCTACAGGTTCCGCAACTCCAGTTGCTGCTTAGAGTTCTTAAATTTTTTATTGAAAATGGAACATTTAACTATAACCACTGCATCGTAAGTACGATTACATCATGAACAAACAGTGGGAGGCACTACAAATTTGATCAAATTAGATCAACTCGCTGATTATTGGTGCGGACCCGTGTCAAACGGGCAAACAAGAAAACGAATGTACTTGAAAGGTGCAGAATTAACACTGTAAAGACAGTTGGATATTTACACTTCTTCACGCAAAATAAGTCAGTCAACGCACAAATCTTAATAATAAAAAACTTATTAAAGTACAACATTTTTTGAATGCATCTGTACAGATAGCAAACTTGCAGAGAGTTCTGGTACTTCATCAGAACTAGCACTAGAATTTTACCGTGCCCTCATTGACGTGTCAGTCCGTAGTTGGATTAAAGGGCATACGCCTTCCAGAGGAAATCATGCTGCTGACTCGCTGTCCAGAAGAAGAAACTAAAAACTGTTGGCTAGCTAGGAAGGTATTGAGCTCTCCAAAGAAAACGCTACGCATGTCCACATGTATTATTACGGGACATTGCTTATTAACAAACACCAATTCAAGTTGAGTTTGAGTAAGACCCCCACCTACAGGGTTTGTGAACAGGCAGATGAAGCACTAGAAGACATTCTATATGAATGTCCTAACTTCTCGTTTATAAGTCATGGCAAGCATAATGGCCTTCCGAAATGTAAGTGCTGTACTGTAGGTACTTACAACTTACACTTACAAATACAGATGTCTTATACATTTTTTCTCCAGTCCCCAATAATACTTAAAATTTCGCTGCTAAGACTAAGCCCATTGTAAACAATTAGTACTGAACCTTCTCTCTCCTGCTAATCATCATCAGTTCGAATGTCTTTAAGAAACTTACTCTACTCTACCCATGTCATTTTCAAGGACTCTCCAGAATTCTATAATGATTTCTACGTTCAAAAACATTTCTTAAATGTTGCAACTTTTATTATACTAAAGATTTTTCCTTCGTTCCGGTTTTTAAAAATTTTATCATTTTACATATTTTATCGTAATCCTTAACGGGAAGTAACATCTGAAAAAAAAATCGTTTAAATGTAGTGGGAGTTTTTGTTCGTGAGGAAATCAAAAATTCTTTTCTCTTTTTGGTAGCTTATTCCAAATTACCAAAATTATGCGCTATTATAAACACCGTGTATATATAAATCTGGAACCTTCGAATTACATCTTTTGCAGATGGAGCATTTAAAAAATTGAAGCCGGAACCATCCGCCCAAACTTCGAGCACCAGCTCCATAGGGGCTGTATCGCCGGGCGGACCTTCTCACGCCGGTCACACACCCACCACCGCCTCGTGTCCCACCCCCGCGCGGAGGCGGCACCGGACGACGTTCACGCAAGAGCAGCTCGCTGAATTGGAGGCAGCATTCGCGAAAAGCCACTACCCCGATATTTACTGTCGCGAAGAGTTGGCCAGAAGCACGAAGCTCAACGAAGCTAGGATACAGGTAATACACCGCGTGTTTTGATTAATTTTGGTTTGGCTTAGTTTACGGAAATGGTTACTAACAACGTCCACAGCGTCTAAACGCACATGTTTACCAATGCCGTATTTTACGATGATCCGTAAAGATTTTGACCCAACATTTTTTTTTTTATTTTATCCTTAAAATTCTACAAAAAATATCAAAGCGAGTTGTTGGGCTTAACGGGTTTGGGAGCGATCGGATATTTTCGGTAGATTTTAATTACCTCGTGCAATGCATATGAGGAAATTCATAATCATATAACTGAAAACGATTTAAATGGACATGATTTTGGGCAATTGTCTGGTTATATTGAAAACTTTTTTGAAGAAATTGAAAATATTAGATTTGCGATGAACGATGAGTTTTGTCTAGGAGGCACGCGACCTGTTACGGCCTAAGAACTGTTGCAGCAGCTATTAAAATTTTCTAGCTGAGCTAGTTCATGACAAATCCATATTTACACTTTCAGTCGTCATCTTGCTTGATTTAGACTTCAAGGTTGAACCTGCAATTTTTTGAAAACAAACACTTTGGGCCGGGTTTGTTTATTTATAATTTGGTAGTAGTGAAAGTACATACAGTCCAGTACATGTAAAACTTGCAATTGCAGGTTAATATATGTTACATTTTTAATACCGTTCTAATCTGTATAGAATAAAGTTAAGAGATCGACACGTTTTTTCGAAATATAATTCCGGATCCCAATTCCGCTCACGTCACCCAAAAACCGCATCACTCCCCGCCCCTCACAGCCAACCGCGACTTAATCCGCGTAATTATTGATGAAAGTCGCGCAAAATAATGATCGGTTGAAATGAGAATTTGCGATTTCCGTCCACAGTACGTCCGATTTGCCCGCGCTTATTTAAAATGCCATTTTCGATGATTCGTTCTATCGATTGGCGGAGCCTGGAAGACGTCTATAAGGGAAAAAGGACTGAACGCGGGGCCCCCGCGTTGAGCGAGGAGCGGGTAACTTTGGCCCCCAAAGCGCGCATTTACAGAAAGGCCCGGTTTGGTTAAATCTCTGATTGAATTAGGAACGCGGGTGGGGCAAGGGGGTCCCGTCGGCCCCCGACGACAAAGTGACTCACGCATTAGCCCCATATATGACATATATATATATATATATAGACCCTTGGATTTTTGGAGGAAGTTTCGGCAACGAGTTTCACGCGTGACCCGACCCTGGTGAGAGGGTGTACCAGCGGAAGGGTGCGGGGGGTGTCTGAATTAAAAAAAAATTATGAATAAAATTCATTTAGGAAAGAAGCCACTGAAAACGCTACATTTTCGCCGACGTTATAGGGCAGTAAACAAAAAAAAAACTTAGATTATTTGAATAGACATTCATTGATGAAAAAACACTGAACAAATAAGCTTATTGTATATTAAATAATAACTAAATAACTATTTTTTTAAGAGATGATTCTAATAAATAGTAATTGGCTGATTCGTCTCCGGAAAAGGCGACTTTGTTGAAGTTATGTTTTTGCGAGACAACCTCAATGAAAATTCTATTTTGTAAGGGTGTTTGCAAAGTGGACCTTAGTTATCGTGTTATAAATGGTAGAACCTACTAGAAACACAGTCATAAAACGGTCATTCGCAAGAAATGCCATGTACTTAGGTACATATTATTATTTTGTTATAATGAGATTATGGTAATTATGGTTTATTTCTGAAAAACTCCCAATGCTTCAACAACAAAAAAAATGAAAGCCCATAACGCAAAAAGCAAAGACAGGGAAGAAAAACTAGTCATCATTGGAAAAAATATCTTCCTTCCGAGACTGATTCATGCATATCAATAACAGCTGCGAGAAAATTAGATGCATCGATCAACTTTTTCTCAATTATCAGGCGGTCTGAATGACTACAATAGTTATTCCATTTTTCGGGTGAAACCTGCAACAATGTGTTATGAATAGTCCATCAGAAGTATTATTATCATTTTACTTCAGCAACTACTTCAGTCCATAAACGTAGTGCGGCATCAGATGTTATGGGATGGATATAACCTGTTTTTGCATCATAATACCATGACAATTGTTTCGACAACACCGTGTCTTTATCAAATGCGATAAAAACATAATATAATTTCATGAAAATCTGAACTTTTAGTTCTTATTTATTTTGATAAATGGATTTTCATCAAGTAAAAGCCACCTCAGTTAAATCATCATAATACCGTTTACAATCTGACCAAACCATCCCACAGCTGATCTTTCATTAAACTTGGCTAAAATGGCATCTTCCTTTTTTGCAGCCACTCGAGAGACTGCTTGATGCTATCTTGATAAGGTATTGATTCAGCAAGTCCACAGTAAAGGTTTGCTAAGATTGGGCAACAACTGTTGACTGAATCACTTCTTAAAGTGAAAAAAAAAATAGATAAGTTAGTTTTTCCTAAAGCATTGTAGTATATGAGAGTTTCCGTGGGTTCAAAACTAATCTATGTTCATAGGTTAAAGAAAGTCTACTAAATATCACCTTTCAAAATTTTCAGTTTCATTGGTAGTCCCGAGATTTGCAGCCCGATTTAAAAATAAGATTGACATACTCCGCAAAGCCGTTGTTAGAGCCAGCGTGTAAAATTATATAACGAACTCAAAGAAAATTCCACAGGCTACTGTAATACTTTTTATCAAACTTCCGGATTCCTCCTGCCTCGGATTTTGTTGAGTCGAACTAGCTAATGTTGGCTGATGGCTTCTCCAGAACTTGGCTGAAAAAAAAAACGAACTCCTTCGCCATATTTTTTGCGCACTGTTTGTAGAGCATTGTCTTGCCAGTTTTTCCTAGACTGGATTGAATGAAAAGGTATCATTCTGGGTTTTCATGTATTCTCTCAATAATGTCAGTCGTTAATGAGCAATGCATGGTTGTTCCATCGGATATTTCCGGCTTGAAATACTACATTGTTTCCAAAAAAATTGCAACGTTTTTAATTTTTCAATTAATAAACCATGTGAAATATAAATACCATCAATTTCGTGCAAATGTTTGCGTAGCGATTCTACTGGCACTTTACGCACAAAGAAACAGTTATATTATTCATTTGTAAAAGGGGAAGGTTTCAAAATTTTTTCATACCTGCTGCGTACATAGTATAAATTCGTGTCCGTATGCTATGCTCGTGTACTTTATAAAGGGCGGTTCCGTGTGCTGCGATATGACTGGTCTGAACTTTAAATTTATGTGTTCATGATCGGATTTGATGCATCCAGAAACAAGCTTATGCATTTATCTTACAGAAATATCTAATGCATCGGCAATACGCTACAATAAGACGTAATAAGTACCTACCTAATTAATAATTTTCAGCAGCTTAAATTACTCGATCATAAATGGTTTTAAGTATGGGAACCGTAAATACTTACATTCTGTACAGCGTTTCATGATAAAAGTGGTTTCCCCGCATATTTATGTAGAGTGAAATCATCCACAAGTTTTAAAATAATGGGCTTGATCTTTTTCACTAAATCGTTGAAACGATTTAATTACCCGCTCAATTTAAAAAATTTGATCTTGATACGGCTTTTGACGCGGATTTGAAAACTGACACACAAAATTCCTATGTCAATTTACGACATCCAGTAATGAACTAGATAAAGCGTAACTACACAATAGCTCGACTGGATTTTATCACTGAAAAGCAAGACTGTAACACAATAAACGGTGTAAAATATACCCTGTTTGGCACAACACAGACACACCACTGAAATCTGTAATCTATTCCTAATGCGCAAGACGACAAGAAATTGAAAGGCTGAAAGTTTGTTTTTGTTTTGTTCGTGCTGCTTTCTTTTTATTAGGAACGAATGATAAAAATTGATTTTCATTCACCAAGAATCCTCTTTTTCGATATTCATTCAGTAGTTTTCTTACAAATATTCTTTCTTAAAATAATTCAAAAAAAAATATGGGGGAGGGGTTCCAACGAGTCACATTATATTTGCTTTCAGCCAATAGAATTTATTTTTCTTTTGTTAAAACTTGTTAAAACTAAAGGTTTCGGTGAACATATGTTTTCACAAAATTTGAAACGTGGCACTGGCAGTCAGGTGCGTTTAGAATGTGATATTTCTTCACCTGTTTTACCTTGGTTCCCACTTTCTCAGAGAAAAAATATAATATAAATTATATGGTGGCCACACCGGTGGGTCTCCACCCGCCCCTTTCACCACACTTGCGCCGCCCGATTCCAAATCGTTTACGTGCATTGTTTTAGGTATGGTTTCAGAACAGACGGGCCAAATACCGCAAGCAGGAAAAGCAGCTCCAGAAAGCGTTAGCCCCGAGCGTTCTGCCTGGATGCAACGGCGCCATGATGAGGAACATCTATCCGGGGGCGGCGCGCGGTTACCAGCCCTACCCTCACCCCACCGCCATTAACAGATACCCCCAGGTTTGTTTCGACTTTGTCCGTATTAGTTTTGGAGTAGATTTTGATGGGCCGTAAAGTCGTCTCTCGCGTGGAGAAGAGAAGAGAGGCGTAACGTTGAAAGGGGAGTAAATTTTAACCCCCATCAACCTCGTTCCCCACAACAGCGCTCGTTCCTTGCGGATGCCGTTTCAGAAAATACACATATATACAACAAAGTACTTATTTCTTTTTGGATGATACCATAAAAACCGTATACTTAAAAATAAACGATTTGTCTCCTAGGACGTTTATAAAATGCAGATCCAGATCCTTTTGCGATGTTTATCCAATTTCATTATTGTTAACATTTGACAACTTTGAGTTCAACTTAACTCAATTCTTTGTGTTTTTGAGGAAAATGTATACTTTAAATTGTATGCATAAATATGTATGTATAAATGCCAGTACGTGTACGAATTAAGGAATTTTATAATATGTATAATATTTTATAATAATAATACACAATAAAATTATGAATACGATTATGAATTAAGAATACGATGTAAAATCCGACAACGTACAGGAACTCGCGCGACCCTATTTAATCAATTTAATTTGATTAAATTATTAAATTAAATTTAATTCAAATTTAATCAAAGACTCTACAATGTTCCTCGTTACAAAAAAATTACAAAAGCCCATGAAACGAGAAACGAAAAGGACGTTATGACATTTTTTATTAGTGACGATTCACGTCATATAGTCGCTATAACAGTTGAGTGGTTTGTAATACACGCAGCTCTAACCTTAAAAGAAAAAAGAAAATACCCAGTCCCAAATCCGCTCTTAACTTTCATGACCAAATGACCGTGCGATGATTCTGCGTGGCGATTTGCATCAAGTCTGTCCGGGCAAAAGGAAGCCCCGTCACACAGGAAGTGCGGTCTTAGCTAAACTAATCACTCAACCGGTTTGACCTCAGTTAATCCGTTTACCTGGCTCTGGCACAGGGTCTAATGGCGCTCCAGTTGGATCCAGTCGGAGCCCGTGCAATTCCGGGCTGCTGCCTGATAAGCGATACCTGCCCGTTAATTATTAAAGCTGTTCTGCCCTGCCGCCGCCGTCACCGCCCCCACCGTTTTTAAACGGGATATTAGCCATTAAGGAGGCGGCGGCGACGACGGCGGGTCGCTGAATATTTACAATTCGGTCCTATTAATTCCCGTCAAATCTGATGAATATTCAACCGAAACGACTTGCCACGAAATGACAGTTTTTTGCGACTAATTTATTTGGATGATGAATTGTGGTCACTTCGCATCGTTGCCAAACTCTCATATTTTTCTTTGAATGTAAATAATAATCAACTTCTCAAGCGCTTTTTTGGATAAATGACAACATGCATGTAATCTTTGTTCCGGTAAAGTGGCGATACAATATAAAATCATTAAAAATTTTTGGTAACAGTAAGCATAATCAATATAGTTAATAACTAAAAAAACATAATATTTATTTATTAATATATTAATTGGAGGTAAGACTAATTGATGGTTAGTTTATAAAATCCATCTGTCTATGATTCGATTTTATCCCTACGTAAACTGTACTACGTTTTACTGATTTTATTTGGAAACGAATAAGCTCCCAAGTTTAGCCAAACACTTCGTTCATTATTTCAAATCGTTAAATTTCAGTAAGTGTTTATAGTTAGCAAAATGACAAATACTTTCTTATCTCGTTTCTATCAAAATTTATTTTCAGATGACCACCAGTTCTTATCCGGGCATGGCGCAGTCGTTTTCTATGACCCACACCACGAACATGACGTCAGTGGCGGGTATGAGGCAGGAGGCAATGAGTAAGTAAAACCGCTTACCCTTATCCCACGTTCCAATTCTTCAATTTTTTTTGTAATGTACTCCTTATTTCCCCGGAGCCTTGCCGTGCCGGAAATTAAACTTCTTGAAGACGCCAGCCGTTAATATCGGCGCATCTTCGCCGGAAACTAAATAATATCCTGTTTAGATCCTCGTCGATATATATATTAATAAATAGCCAATATCTTGAGCCGGGATGACCTCCGCCCGACATATTCTTCGCTTAATATTCTCAGTACTGGCGTCTTATTAGCAGCATTGCACAAATTTGACATACGTTCGTTATCGAATCGAATAGCGCACTGGCGTCTGTCAAGTTTGCAATTTGACACGAATTAAGAATTTACGAATGCATCGTCGTGTTCTGTTTTTAGGCATGAGTCCCGAGGACGAGTGGTACAACAAGAGTCTCTCTGCGTTGCGAATGAACACCACTCATCACCCCAATTTAGCGGCACCGATGTTGCAATACCAGACGTAATAGATGGCAACCCCATATACGCGAAGTTTTTAAGTAGCTGTTTTCTAATTTACCACATACCAAAGACCGTCGTTCATTTGAAAAGTATCCGCGCTCGCGCGGGAGATTTGAACTCGATACGAAGAGATTCTTAATTAATTGTATTTATTCGTGACTTGTAATATGCAGAGTGCTTCAAAACAAATGCAAAACAAAATTAAGGGCGGTACGGTAACGAGTGAACAATCACGTTAGGATCGAGATATGGTGAACAATGAAGCGATGAAAAAATTAAAATCTAATGTTTCCACCATTTTTGTACCGTGAGATGCTTAACTTTTGACCCTTAAGACTTAACTATTAACAAACCATCACTAATTTTTGCATTTGTTATTGGATCACCCTTATTAATATAGGTATAATAAATTCAGTAATGTGAATTGGCAGGTTTTCCTTTGTTTGTGATGATTGAAACATTGTTGTAAATTCTTTCCGACAACGACGGAAGCTTGAACGGTACAATTCCTAATACAAAAGTACACATTTTCTATAGATATTTTCTTTCAGCATTTCGGGTGTTGCTGGGAAGATCGTTTCATCTTAATCAATTCTTTGTTTCATTGGTTTGGTCTTCCAGTGCCATCTCTTGTATGGTTACTTACTTATTTACATAGAAGTTGTCTGTAATATATATTTATTGATTCGACAGATAAATTGAACCTGTACATATACGGTTTCAAAACTTGTATAAAGATACTGACAAACTCTCTAGGACCCTATCCGAGATAAAAACAAACCAAGTGGATTTTACTGTTGATGATTGGCGTAATATAGTACGACAAAATAAACGTATGTATAGGGCTAAAGACAAAATACAACTTGTGTGTACCATTGCTTAGTGTTAAATATTGAATTTGTCTCCGGTTTAGATTAAACAAATTGTTTATTCAATTTACTGCAGTCGTGATTTTTGTTGAATATGGTCGGGTCGTTTAATTGGACGTCCCGTTGATAAAAAAAAATGATGAATAAAATTGATAATTTTTACTTGCGTTTTTAATTTGTAACTTAAAATAAGTCCCCAAAACAAACGATTTCAACAAAGTCCATAATAAACTGTGTTACAAAAAAGAGACTACAATTAACCTTGATTACCAAATAAATACTCATTGTCTACTTTATCAATTTAATAACTTCCAAATCAAAAAATAAAAGACGAATTACGGATAACAGCAATGGAAAATGCAATATTGCCTAACCTTAAAAGAATTATCTGTGTTGACACATCAGTTCGCTTCTTTCTGTCTGGTCGATTAATCTTAGCAATGTTGTTTACAAGAAACAAAGGAAGAGGATTAAATCCTGAAACCATGTGGAAGAATGATCCCCACAGATTAGCTTCATAGTTACTGTGAATTACATTGAATATATATATGGTTCTTCATTTTGGCGGGTACTTTCGTTACTAGTATCTCATATTTTTCTATGCTCGTATCTAAATTTGATCTAGGTAGTTCCCACCTTAAAAGTTTTATGATTCCCAGAATTAATTATCCATCGCATAAATAAAACTGGTAAGTTTGTAATAATTTCTGCTGCGGCATGTGGAATTTAGTTTCTGGTAGTGCAGAGGCCCTATAACTGAAAACATGCCACCGAAAAAACCTCCTGCGCCTAACGCGTTCAGCATGTTCGTCATGGATTTCAAAAACCAACAGGGCATGAAATTCAGCAGCACGAAGGAAGCATACGAAGCGGCGGGACCTTTCTGGGCGGTAAGCTTTGGACCATTCCAAGAACTGTTGTCCTATAGCAGCTTCCGAATTACAGCGAATGAGTGCCGCCGAGCGACGTCCCTATCAAGAACAGGCGAAGCGAGAGAAAAAGCCCGGTAAATACACGTCTGAGGGTTTGAACGTTGAGGATTTGACACGTAAACAGAGGGAAGAAGCCGAATTTCAAGATCAAATGCGCCAGAATATCAGGCAGACCATTGACCTGGCCAACATGAAAGGACCCGAAGGTATGCAATTTCATAAGGCCATGGTGAGTGTTTATACTTTTATTTGATCTATAGCCCTAGCAAATGAGACATTCTTCATTATCCACTTCAATATCTTTTGCTACCACCAGTCAAGCAACCAATACTACCCCGCAGAAGTAGCAGCGGTTTGTTTTAATTTAAAGGATGGCGTAAAGGCGGGAAATGTGTTCCATGAATTTATTCTTCCGGGTAATATATTTTTAAGTTAGTCGACGTTTCCACATATTCCACTGTCTTCAAAGGTCCTTTACCATTGGGCTATTCGTTCGAAGCAAGGCAACATTCAGACGAGACGCATCAAATTGCGGTTCCATACGAAGATGTTGAGAACAACATGGAGGAGGTTTTCGCGAAGCTCGTTACTTTTCTCGAGGTGCTTTCTCTCACATTGGCAGAATATTATAGATATGAAGGGGTGTGGGTTTTAGAAAAAGAAACCTGAAGGCGTAAGCCGCATGCCAATACTATACGCCAATGAAAAGTACCAGAAAATGTTCCAGAACATTTTGGACCGTTGGAGTTTTGACTATGAGGGTGACGAAAGTTTGTTCCGAGTGTACAGTCTGCAAGTTCTGTTCTTCTCATTACGAAACAGGGTGTCAGGAGGTGAAGTGTGGCCCACATACACATTCAGCGACCGCGAAATCGAGAAGGATGTGTACGCCTATGACCCAGACATTGCTTGTGATGTAAGTTCTCTCCACAAAAATATAAAATCTATACCCTCTGTGAGTTCTTTTTTTTTTGAGGTTAGAAAATTTTCAAAGGCGTGTAAGTGAATATTTTATCAATGTTGTTAATTTTTTTTTTTGATTTTATCTGTAAATGTTTTTATCGTTGTGTTTTTAATTATGATAAATATTTTAGCAGCTACTGCATAGTAACACACTCCTTTATTTTGTTTAAAAATGACGGGCCATTTTTTAATATATAATTACTTATATTGACCCAAGCCGCCTAGGCAAAAAATATGCACTTTTATAAATATTAAAATCAGTGGAAAAGGTGTTTTTGACAGTCTGATATAGTTAAAACTTCATAAGATTGATTTTCTTTATTTAAAATAGAAGTTCTGACCTATTAAAATGTTATTAAACTTCTTGATACTGCAAACATACAAAATGGTGGACTTTTTTAGAGGTATCTACCAGGGGTAAAAGGAAAAAAAATTCAAAACAAATTAATGTTCCACAACCCCGTAAAGATAACGAAATTCCAATGTAATTTTCAATGTCTTTTTTATTACACTTTCACTGCCTATTTTTTTTTAACACATCCTTGTTTATAAAGCAGTCAATTTTTTTTAAATAGAAATTTCCATTCACTTATTTGGTCTCCTCACATCGCCAAGGCTCAGCGAACTGTTTTTGCATCGATACTGATTATTAAAAAATATCCTAGCATTGTATTTTGGCTGCACATCTCATAAGCGGTGTGCTCCTCGCTGTTTAATTGTCGGCGCCCGTTTGTAGTATCACAGCGCCACATCTAAGCCCTTGTACTGCAGCAAGTCGACGGTTTTGCGTATGGTTTATATCATATGCGATCATTGCTGCGAAGAACTGGACATTGAACTGTTGCCGGGTCAACATGTGCCCCTTAGGTCTGCTGTTCCACTCGGCGCCCCTAGCGTCCATAGTTTCAACAGCCTCACAAGCCGCAGTTCGCGCTGGGTGAGTATCACTTAAATTATAGTTTGAGGTTAGGTTCATGGCACAAACCACAGGTTAAAATAATGGTCATTTCACGCCCTATAACATTAAAAAAGTGATGTCTCGTGTTTATCCCATTTATTATTTTAAGATGGCGGTGAAATATTAAACAAATTCATTCCTTGTCAAAGAAAAGAGTATAACGAATTTAGTCTTAAAATTAAATAAAAAATAGCGGTATATTGGGTAGGTCAAATTGTTACATTACACTTGTTTGTAATTCTTTCGTTTCATTGCATAAAGAAAATAATGTTTTGAATTCTGCAATAGTACTAATTAAATTAGTAAAAACAAGTTTCTGCATGGATTGTATAAAAAACTACTAATTGAAATATTTATTATTCTACATAAAGAGTGCAAACATTATTGTGTGTGTACACTGTGTCCCAGTGAAGATACAGCCTTGCGTTTTTTGTTACTTTTTTGTGAAACGAAAGACAACATTAACAAAATTTTCACGAATTACTTAGGTTTTAAAATACAAGAAGATTTTGGAAATTTGAAGTTTTGGCGCAGCCCTCCTATCTCGAGTATCTTATGAAATGTCGGAAAGGTGAAAAGCGCATCCCATACAGATTTTTATATGGAATTCAGTAGCGTAGTCAGTTTTTTATAAATGTTTCGCTTTTTGAAAAACTAATCAAAACTAGCCCAATACTGTTATATATTTTTGACAAGCTCATATTATACCGAATCAAATTGGCTTATAAGATATAGGGTGTTCCAAAAAACCATTTTATTTTTTTTCAATAATTGAATCTCTTTAGCAATATAAACTAACATTATGTAAAAATTTTCCTAAGGAAATATGGAACTGGAGATGGTTTAATGCGTTTCCTTTCTTACAATAAGGATATAACTTGTAATGAAATGAGACTCACAAATGATTTCTGTAAATTTCTTCCACTGTCAAAACTTCCAAACAATTGAGTTTAACTCTTTCAGCTGCACGACACATTTTATTTAGTTTTAACCCAAATATCATTACAAATATTTTCTACCTTGTCTATAAGATATCGGATTATATAAAACAGAATACTATCAGTTTTCACAAATAGCAGAGAAAATGCTAAAAGTTAAAGACTAACTCACTTTCTTCAAACAGAACCACAAACACAAAATGAGCACGACTCTAAAGCAAGGTGAATAAGTCAGGGGTTTTGGTTCATAATACCATCTCTGTGTCCTCACCTGCAAACTGGTTTTGCCAGCTCCATTTCTTTTTTGTCTCATTTTTAAATTTGAAATCTGCGGGAAAGTTTAAGTTAGTATACTGGAGTTATGGATTCTTCCATTTACAAATAGGGCTTGGGCAGCGAGTATGACGGCGACTCTACCACGGACTGGGAGAACAAGTCTTTGATATCGGAGTCGTCAGTAACGACAGTGGATTTTCCACCGTTGGGCCGCAATGAGGTGCGTTTTTAAAATTATTTTTACACATTCGCCAGCCATCTCTTTCAGGCAAATTCGGATCCGTTTCCCAGTTTACCACAAAGTAACTCATCAGCCATCCGGAATTATTCGGATTCACTCGGGTCAAAGGCAATGCGTAAGTCTACAGGTAAAGGGGAGTAACTTCTTCCTTAATTTTTACATTTCCAGCATCCGCGTTCGAAAATGCTCACTGCAAGGGTAGAGGTTTTCGCAAAAGAGATGACGATTGTAGTAGTACAGCTTCCTCTGCAGTTAGTGGAGTATGGAGGGGGTATGAATCTAGCAGAAGTGTTCACGTGGCGCCAAGGGGAAGGGGTATTAGGCGCGGGGCTGTGACCAAACCTGGACCAGCTAATTAGGCTGTGTGGGAATGAGCACCCGTCTTATTAAAATTTTATTTGTTGGCTCCAGAGTTTATATATATTTTTTTGTCATATTTTGCTTTGGTCGTGTACCATTTTAATTTAATAAAGATTGATACTTTTTCGACGCAATTTTAGTCATTTGAAACCAGCAGGAGCTAAAAGGTATCGTTTATTGTATCAAAATTTAAAAAACAAAATTTCGCCAAAATAACCCCCTTTTGTACGAAAAAATTGCATCCTGTCTACCATCAAAAAATTTCCAGTTAAAAATAATTTTTATCTGCCAAAAATAACTGCAGAAGTACTTAATAGTTTATACCACTTTAAATACAAAATATTTATACTCTCACAGGTGGTGGGCGAGTGAACCAAAAAGTAGTTTATGTTGAGGGTTAAATTCCTCGAAAAAACTGATATCCTTGTAATTCCAAATCCTTTTAATAATTTTTTATAAACTCATGGCTTCCTTATTTTAATGAGAAAATAAATAAATAAATAGGGGTTTTTCCTTAGAGGCGCAATATTGAAAGTCTGGTACACAATCGTCCGAAAAGTTTCTGCGACAACTGGCACACAACATCACGAAAATCGTTCAGGCTCGCGTCCTGCAGCTCCTGGTTAAATTCCTACAACCAACATATGTTTTTCCAATACTATTTACAAATCTTCTGGATTCAGAGCTTAAATGAAGAAACGTCAGCAAGATTTATTTATAAACAACTGATGCAGGAGGAATCCAGAAGATTTGTAAATATTAATGTTGTTACCTGGTTATATATAATGGTAGGTATAAATTTTGGCAAAAATTTTAACGTGTCTTGTTCCGCTCGAAGTTGCAAAACTGCGCCCTCCGAAGACTGGTAACACTCAAGTATTTCGTTTAAGTTCAGGCCTATCGACGTAGCACACTAGAGCAAATATAGAAAAAAAAAAGTAAATTAATTTGTTTCAACAATAGACTCGAATATATTACGAGCTTTGGGCGAGCAAATTTGATTAACTTGCCCAACAAAATACAAAGAGGCAAGATGAAATGTCCGGTGGTTTGACGATATAAATAGTCATGTTTTATGTTTCATTACCGAATGTTAATCTGTATCAAGTAACTGCTAGGAATATGTTATCGAATGCAGAAAACAATTTCTTTTCTTCTTATCAAATGCTTTTTGTTCTCGCACGTTGACTGGGTCACATCAGATTTTAGTATGCTGTTTTTACCTCCTGCCCAAATTCGTTTTCGTCGGTTCGACTGTGCCTGAACTTATCCATGAAGCAATTGACGTATTCTACTTGAAGATCTTGACCGGGAATCCTGGCGAGTGCGCATGACATGAGACGGTTGCCTTTGCATTCGAGCGGACCGTGTTGACAGACGAATGTCGATCCACCTGCGATGCTCTGAACGTCACAGAAACTCAAATGTAAAAAACCCCAACGCGATTGACATCAATGATAAAAAAGTATATAGTATATTATGCAACAAGTTTGATAAACACAAACCTGCAATAACTAACTAAACGAAAACCACTAGGAAAAAGCGCAACTACGACACTAAAGTCAAAAGGAGAAATTAATTACTACTACCAAGCTTGAAGGATGGTATTTTGACAATTCTGAAGGACACGTTACATGTCACTCGTAATATGTATCCGTAGTATATTGCTGCGCTGCGTTCCGCTCGTGCTTAAAAGAGCATTTACCCAACTTGTTGCATAATATACTATTTTCCTTATCTGGTGGTATAAGTCGCATTTGGAGGGGTAAATATTTTTAGCTATATTTGGTGCCTAAAGATTTAATGGGATCTGGACATATCTTGAAAAAATACAGCCGTAAAAATATTTCTTCTCAAAATTGATTTTCTAGTTGCTTCCATATAGTTATTACTTTACTGTTAAAAATTGATGGGCCGATTACATTGATATTTTCGTAGGGAAGGTAAGGTTTTTCATAAGTTTTTGTATTATCGGCATAGGCAGGACCTCTATATCTATCTCTACTAGTTATTTGGTTCCTTTATAATTTCCTATATTACCAGCATAGGCAGGCTTATATATCTCTACCGGCTATATAGTTAATACTCACCGCACCCTTACCGAACGGTATAAATTTTATGTCGACGTAGTTTGATACGTCCGCCCAGTTCCTGTATAGGTCTTTTATGAATTTTTGACTGTCCGGACACAGGGATTCAAACATCACCCCGACGTGCAACTGCAAATTCGAATCTACTACTATAAACACACATACACGTAGACAGTCTTTTTTAATTGTTCAGAAGGTGATTGGTTTAGTGATTTTAATGTAGTATATATAAATAGAGCACAGGAAATGCTTTGATTCCAAAATTGGAAAACTTATTTTTTTTTCTATAAACATAACTTTCCGCAGTAGTTACAAATCAACTTGTATATTGAAAATATCTTACCTTGTTCGTCAGTTGCGGAAAAACCTCCTTTGAACCGAAAAAACCTACCAGAACGAAGAGCAGCGGGTGACGCATTACGGGTATTTGGCAATTTCAGACCGCACTGCCCAACAAAAACGCGGCGGGCTCGTTTAAGAGGTTTCGGGTGCGAAAAAATCTGTCACCACCACATATACGCGACCTCAGCCGCTATAACTTTCACTGTTGAACGCGTGCGATATGTGTCGCGTGTAGCCCGCTTATTAGTATAATAAAAAAATGTTTTCGCACATTTCGCAGGTCAACGCTAAATACGCAAGGAACAAAATAATTCCTATCGGCCGGGAAGTTCGAAAAACGATTACGTAAATAGTATGTAAATACCTGCATACAATGTGCCAGTTTTTAATTAGAAATGTTAAATGGTAAAAAACTTATTTTCTAATGCGATGCATCATAATCTACACAAACTAACTACAAATACCGCATTGACTTACTTCTTCATTTTAGCGAAGGCTGTTCATAGCCGCCATAAATCTGCGCTTATCGCCATCGCGATTGAAGGTACCCATAATAAAACTCGGGCATTTAAATTCGTTTGATATTTAATCAACATATTATTCACTAAACTATACATGGAAAAATAACATTTTTCTAAGAATCAGCCTCGCCCGATTCTCTCAAACACAATCACAACCGCCTCCTAGATATAGAGCAACGCTACTTGTGTCTATAAGCGCCAATTTTACTTTGGCGCCCGGAAGTGTGCATTTCGTCTTAAAAGTTAAACAACGACAAAACGCTATTTATTTAAAATGATTCTGCGGCATTCGTCACGTAAAAATAACAGAAACGCAGCTAAACAAAAAATTATCAAGGAACTTTGTTCGTTATTGCGATCCTTCAAGGTGAATCATTTTTTATAGCTGCTTTATTTCAAGTGTAGTACTTTGACGTGCCATGTAACGAAAAGCTTCATCTCCTGAACCAAGAAATTAATTTAATTAAATCTCAGTTTCCCGAGGGCATCCAAGTTAATCCAGAAGTGGGAAGGATTACTGCAAAAATTAGGCGAACTGTGAATAGCAAGACCAGACATTTACTTAAAGATAAAGGTCCATTCCTTGTCATCTTGGAGGGTATGGTGGAGAAGGTAGGGAATATTCACCCTATGGACATGGGCAAGTTATTTCATCATGCTAAAATTGAGCGAGCGAATTGAAAAGTTTAACAGGAACGGTGTCAATAAAATTGGAATGGAACTCAGAACTTCTGAATTTGCTAATGTATTTATCGGCATTTACTTGGCTTCTCATACAAAAAAAAAACTTTCCCAGTTCTGCCGGTCTATCCGGTTTCCAACCGGGGCAAACAACGAAAATAGCGGGGCTGTAAACACTCAAAACCTAGACTACAATCGCAATTAGAACTGATACCAAGAGATATCTATCGCAAACAGCAGAATCTGCAGGGAGTCAACAAGGAACGACCAGTCATACGCAATGCCATCCACAAAGTGAACAGAGTTTATTTGTTTTTGCCAACAAGTTCCAGTAAATGTGTCGATCCGATATTGTGAATCTAACTTGTGTCAAAGTTGAACCACAGTTGTAAACTGACCGTTTGATCCTAGCAGGTCTGGCCAATAGAAGTAAAGAAGAAGAAAGACGTTAAATGGTTGACTGCCAAGATGTAACCTCTTTTCCGGGTCGGAAACGAACCATTGCACGTGGCGAACGTTGCTCCTGCCCGGTTCCAAAAACTGTAGAAATTATTTGAAATTAGTGTCGTTTAATGTTAAATTCTGTTGTGTGTATTTGTTATCTGAAGTGATCAAGGCGCAGTGCTTATAAATTTTGGAAATAGTGTTCGTCTTATGCGGATGTTTATGGATTTGTGATATGTTATTACATGATGTGTGAGTTAACACGGTTTCCGGATGTTTGACCCATTGTAGTCGTGCCCATTAGAAGTAAATCCAATCCAATCCAACCTCTTTTCCATGTATGTGGTTTCAAATAATAGTATAAATACGTATTTTTATACTCAGTCACAACAGAATAACAGAACAACAGCACAACAACAACATTGGACCACGATCGTAAATTTAGAGGCAAGTGGCAATATATATCGTTCGGGAGTTGCTCTCGAAACTTTTCAAATTCTAGTGATTTAAAGTGGATGGTTTGTCGTTGGAATTGTCGTACTACTAATGTAAGGCGACTGAAGAAATAAGCGAATGTGTTGGTGGTCAGGTAAGTCGATTGGTTGCAAAAAGAATGGTGGTTATAGAATTATCAAGTCAACATTTTGTCGGTTTAAATAACAAAACACGGTACGCTTGCGTTCGAGGCGTGGCCACAGTTTTGGTTACTTACTAGACTGTGCTGCTGCCGTAATATCATGGGCTCCGTTACGAAGGAAAACATTTTTGAGCTGTTTCAAAAAATCAGAAACAGTGTAGGAAATATAAAGCAGGGAACGTGCATGTTTCAAGGTAGGTTTTTCTGACTTGAAAAACTTCAGTGGAAGCCCTCCAAGCGGCAAATATTAAGCTTAAACAAAAAATTGCATTTCAAGATATCAAAGAGGAAAAACATTCTTGTATTTGGGCTTTCTGAGGAAGAAAGTGTACCACTAAAAGAAGTTTTGCTGGATGTTTTCAATAATAGGCTAGACGTTAGCATAAAAATCGGTGATCTTGATAATTTCTTTAAAATTGATGAAAGGAAACATGGGAAATACAGACAAGTTATAGGAAAGTTTATCAGTGAACTAAGTAAACAATATGTACTTAAAAATGCGAGAAAATTGAAAAATGCTGTCATAAGTGTGACAAGATCTGACACAAGAAAAGAGAGGAAAATAAAATTCTATATGAATTTTCAAACCTTGCTAAATCGAAATAATTTAGCGCAAAGATGCGAAAGAACAAACTAGTGGTGAATAATCAGGAATTAACAGTTGAGGCACTAAAAACCTTAAACAATACCCATTCATTCTCACACACAATCCCTTTATCGTAACTCAAGTCCATCCCCACTCCAACGACAAAATACTCGAAGGAAGATTATTTTAAAGATGATGTAGACGACGAATAGAGTGTTTGAGGAAGAGTCTGGGATAGATACCCTAAAGCAGCAAGTTGTATAGGTGTAGAGAAAGACAGGGGATCAACTTTTGGCATAGGAAGAGTTACTAGACTGACTTCGGCCAACAATCCCCAACAGAGAAAAGTCCCTTCACACAAAGATTAATTCCTTTCTCTCTGTCCACCTTTTAGTGCTTGTTTATTTTTTTTTTTTTCTTTTTTTCGATATGAAGCTGGGTCACTTAAATGTTCGATCAAAACTTTTAAAAAGAGACTCAAGGATCAGTTGTTATCTGCAGGTAACATTCCGTAATTACATATCAATGTTGTTTTTATTTAGGATTTAGTATAAATTATTGTTGTTCCGGTTAGGTTAAGCTTAAAAACGTCCATTCCAGCATGTAATGCAATTGTTATATTTTCCATTGTTTCTTTTGTTTTTCCTTTGTAATTTATGATGAATAAAGACGTTAATAATAATAATAATCAAACATTTAACGCCTTCTTAATTTTTGTGAGCAAGAACGAATGTGACGAGGGATGGGAAGCCCGCCGGGTGTCAAAGTAGAATTATTGACTAAACACAAGTGACAGAGCGGGGAGTATTATTGTTTTCTGTTCGATTATCGTCGGTGATGGTCTCTACGGGGTTCAAAATACGTTCACATCCGTTTCGCCTAAATGATCGCGCAGTTATTGTGCGGCAGTCTGTGCCTCTGCGCGGGACTGAAACCCGAGCAGCACTGTTGATGTTTCTGCGCGGTCTTGTCAAAGTGTTGCTGACTCTTGCTGTATGGGACTCCCACTTTCGCCTGCCGACGTCAAAATAATATTTACTTCTTCGATTTGAAAGCGACCGTAAACTAGTGTCTTATTCCGGAAATTCAAAGCCAACTCCTTTTCAGTGCCAAAGTAGCTGGATAACTACAGAATTGAAAAAATCTGTGCGTATGATTTTCTTTTTTTTTTTGTTGGCAAGAGGGTCGAAATTTTGACTTTATTGAAATAATTGCACGGTATGACTGACCATTCTCTTACCACATCTTTTCTCTTGAGGTCGCCGTCACTCTTGGATTCGGACAAGTCCTTGCGATGAAGACAATCGCGTTTCTTGTGCAGCCTCTTCGCGTACTTGTACATCGAGATCCCGAACTCGGGCTCCGTCCTCGGCTCTGTCTGTTCACCCACGTTCTCTACGCCACCAATTTCAACCTTCTTCATCGCCAACCCATCGGGAGGCTTTAGGAGATAGTTACCGTCCGTCGATCTCCTTACCAGTATACCGGGTGCGCAGGCGGGATCGACGATGCCTTGCGGATTCATTACGAAGTCGTCGACATCGTCGTCATCGTCTTCTCGATCTTCGATATCTTCGCGCAGGGAAACGGGCGAGCCGAATACGATGTCCGGGTCCCAGAGAGGACATCCGGGACCGGCGGAATTTGACCTAAAATCTGGACGAAGCGAAAAGTAGTTTAATTTTGGAAAGCCATGCATGACCCATCGCTGTCAAGGCGCTTGTTACCCTACCCTATTCGTTTGCAAGACGGAGTAAGGTGCGTCAAATCAGAACTGATCGCCGTATTGCCAAGGTTATAAAAAATAATTATTTAATCGGAATTAGATGGCAAAGAAAAAGAGTCGAAGATTCACGATTAAATAATATGAAGTAAATTCCATAACACCCTGTATTAAGCATGATCAATCTGAATTGGAACGACCTCAGTTTTGGTAGGTCGCCTATTTAAGGTGCTGACGAAGGAGTCGTCAGTAAAGTACTAGTAACACTATGTGATTTAGAATCACTATAAAAGCCATTGCCCTACGTAGTAAGAAGGAAAAAACTTTTCGGTTTTTTGCATACCTCTGCTCGATATCGATGACTTAATCGGCGAGCTCGCTATACTGCGCCGGGCGACATCTTGGAAAGTGATGGGCGAGTACGCTACCGTACGACCGAATTCTTTAGGGCTGGCGGTGAGCGATGTCCTGCTAACAGCGATCGCTTCCTGCGACGCGCACTTGACATCGCGCGCAAGCCTAGGTACTGGGGTCCTGCAATCGCGGCCAAGTAGCCAGTACGTCTTCATGGTACCCTTGCCTTTAATCTGAATCTCTCCGCGTTCCTGCACCCTGTAGGACGACGGCAGACACTCTTTGGTGTACTGAGAGATATGTATTTTCATGGCTTCGCTGCTGGATTCCATACGCGAAGCCGTGTTGACGCTGTCGCCGAATAGGCAGTACCGCGGCATTTTCAGACCCACGATACCCGCTACAACTGCCCCCGAGTGGACACCAACCCTTATACGTAGATGGTGCCCTAAAGAAAAGGTATTTAAGCGAGGAACTCTCCGGAGTATCGAAACGAATGACTCGGTACTAACCAGCGATAGTATGCTTAGAAACTTGCAGTCAACAGAGACAAATCAGTTAATTAATTAATGAAAATCTTGAGTGAGTTTCCACTAATTTATCAATCTCAATCAATCTATGATCTTTGACATTTACACACGGGAATTTTCCAACCTAGCATTTAATGTAGATAGATTTAATGTATACATCTACAATTATTCATTCATTATTCAATAAATTTGGTTGATATTGATAATTTAAATATCAAAACATTAAGGAGAAAACAAATTAAAAATTTCAACTTCAAATCTTAAGGGAGGAAAACAAAAATTAAATAAAAACAGAGGATAACACTTAATTACGAGAGTTCCTTCTTTTTAAACACAAATTTATTATTTAGATTAATTAAAGATCGCGAACAGAAATTGATTAAAAATAGATTCAATGCTATACGAAAGACATCTATTAAACATTTCTGTGAAGTCTTCGCGGAAAACAAATATTAATATCTGCTGGCTTTAAAGGTTGCTTCATGGACCAACAATTTGGATTTCTCCCCCATCGCTTCACTGAGCTAAACTTGCTCATGTTCACATTGGAGGGGGGGGGGTCTCATGTTCATGCCATTTACACAGACTTTTCAAAGGCTTTTGACCGAGTAAATTATCAAATCTTAATAAAAAAAAAAAGCGAAACACTGGAATCCAGGGAAAACTTTTGGACTGGTTAACATCGTACCTTACTGATAGAGTGCAGATAGTGCGCGTCCAGAGCTTCCAATCCACCGATATTAGAGTGCCTTCAGGTGTTCCACAAGGATCGCACCTGGGACCCCTTCTCTTCAATGTCTATGTGAATGATATTGCCTCATGTTTTCATCACGCATGTTTCCTATTATTTGCTGACGACTTAAAATTCTATATGAGAGTCCATAATGCCGTTGACTGTATTAAACTCCAGTCCGATTTAGATCATCTATCGCTATGGAGCGATTTGAATTTAATGGAACTAAATATTAATAAATGCCAACAAATGAACTTCTACCGGAGCAGAAACCCCATACTTTTTACGTATAACATAAAAGGGACACCATTGTTGCAGCCCTCCGTAATTAGCAACATGTTTCATTTATTGTGTCTAAATCATTTCAGATTTTGGGCTTTATTAAGCATTGTACACTGGACTTCCGGAGTGTTCCGTCTCTCATATTACTGTTCTGCTCCCTCGTCCGTCCACACCTAGATTATTGTTCCAGTGTGTGGTCACCTTCGTATAACGTCCACATACAGGCCATAGAAAGAGTGCAGCATAGGTTCCTGCGGTATATAGCATTTAAGGAGCACCAAGGACTTGAAGACGTTGATCACTCTGAATTGGAAAACTCGCTCCAACTTACAAATCTTCAGATTCGTCGCATGCAGAGGGATCTCACCATTTTTTATAATCTACTGCATTCAAATTCCCATGGACCTGTGCTGTTATGTAAGATTAGGCTTCGCGTCCCCCCCCCCCCCCCCCGCCAGACCAGAATAAACCACCCCTTCTAGGTGGAGTTCCATCGTACTAACTATGGGCAGAGTTATTTTCTTACTAGATTAGCTGCACTAGCGAATCGTTTTTCTGATCAACTTGATTGCTTCCAGAGTGCAAGAATATTTAAGAAGGAACTTAAAGACTGTCGGTAATACTATTCCGCTTTTCCTCGCAATAATTTTGTATACCATTGTTACTGACGTGTCGACTAACTATACCAATATTTAATATTTTGGAAAACCAATGTTTGTCATATTAGGGTAAGGTCTGTCTATTTCATTATGTTTTAATTTTAATTTTGTTTAATTTAATTCAATTTTATTTTGTTGTTTACTATTTTGTTTATGTGAATCCTATTTTATATTGGGCGGTTCGCCCGTTGATAAATAAATAATAATAAATAATAAAATTGTGACAAAATTTTATATTAGTAATTATCCTACTATTATTCGCAATTTACCATTTACTTATTGTCAACGTATGGGCGTATTGGACTATATTTTCTGACACCAGATTAACCCCAGACGGAAATTCTGCAATTTTAGAATCTTATTTGAGTCAATCTATTTTAAACATGATTAAACCAAAGCTTCAGAAAGCAATGTTTTAATCTTAGGAGCCATGCTGATAAATAAATATCCTTTATGATCATACAAGTTTTACGAAAACATGTAAACTTAAGATTATGCACCTTCTTCCTGCGACACCTTTCTATGAATTTCATTCGCCGATTAATGGAGCCAACACAGTCATACCCAATTTACTGGTGTATGTATAAGAAGACCTAAAACATTATGAAAGTCGTAGTTAATCCTGGCTATTGCTATAGGCTTCTTCAATATAAAAAGATATGTGAAAAAACTGAAGACGTGCAGGAAACACGTCAAGAGTCCTACAATTGTTCCTTGAGGGACACTAGTGCTCATACACAAAACCTCGGATAACCCGAAGCTAATTATTCTAACGTCTTTCAGTGACTGACACAAATTTCCCCAAATTGAAAAAAAAGTCTTTGCAAAGCAGCATTTGTGGTGCAATCATTTTTAATATATTTGAAACTCTTAGAGATAAAATTCGTTGTGCACAAAAATTGCCACATTATTTCATGGCCAGCACAATAATATCAACGAAACTGGTTACCTGTGGAGGGGTCCTTCAGATCGGTAATGGCGTCGACCATGTCCAAAGCCATGTCGCACACCCTCTCCGCGTGATTGCCTTCTTTGGCCGGCGCCCCGCTTACCACCATGTAAGCGTCCCCAATAGTCTCCACCTGATTCCAGCAGCGATAAGGTAGACAGACGTCACCCAATATATATAGTTGGCGCCAATGATATTGTACCCAAAGAAAATTAAATATGCCGACAATGGCTCGAAACTTTTCGCCTCCTCTACTCTTAAACCCTCCGGGTTTAGTATACTCACTTTGTACACCCTGTTACGTTCCGTCAATCGGTCGAAGATTGAATACATGCCGTTCAACATAGACACCACCTCCATCGGGGTTATCCGGCTACAGATCTCTGTGAAGGTGACGACGTCGGAGAAGAGTATCGACACGCTATCGAACATCTCGCAGGTGTCGATGGGATTCTCACCCTTCCTCAGTCGATCCGCCACCTGTTTAGGTATCATCTGGTAGAGCAGCTCGTCCGTTCTCCTCATCTCCTCGTCCAATTTCCTCATCGATTCCTCCAGCTTTTTGCTCTTCTGTTGTTCCTGATCGAGGGCCAGTTTCAATTCGACCGATTGCTGGGTACCGGCCAGCATTAGGTCGCTGAAAGTGCGCGAGAGAGGGTCGTACAAGGGTCGGAGCCTTGTTGTTGGCGATCTTACCGACTGAAATCGTGCATTGATAGATCGTTTATGTACAATCCAGAGTTAATGAGTGAGTTAAGGTCGGGCATGACCGGCGTACCGAGGTACATCATCATTTTCCAGTTGTCCATGTAGATCATCTGACCTGTAACAATTTGATTTCAATTTTCGCAATTCGAATGGGTTGGTATCCATTTATTTCTTCACTTTTATCTAGGGATAATAGCTACGCAATGTGCGTTACGATAAATATATTTTTTGTTTATAATTTTTCAGTTTTTATGATAGCTTTCAAGCAGATGTTAGCTACAGTTTTCACTTAAATGTACTTTTTCGTTCTGCAGATATTTTAAAAAGTCACTAACCAATTACTATTTACAAATCTTCTGGATCGCTTAAGTCCGATTCGGAGCAAGTTCAATTCATCAACAAGTGACGCAGGAGTAATCGTGAAGATTTGTAAATTGTATTACGGTAGTTTGTGGAAGTTGCTTTGAAAAATTAACAAGCTTTTGTGAAATGGACATCAAGTGCAAAACCGAATTATTAGAATAACACCAACTGAAACACGCAAAATTACTTTGTAGACTGAGTAAGTTCAGGAGCATTAACTAACCAATTGTTTTCATAACGAGATTGACCTCTTTCGGACGAAATGTGATACATAAGAGCCTTCGAACTGACCTTTTAGCCTGAGACTTTTCTCTTCTAGGAACGAGTCTGTCATTTCGTCGCTAAGTATCAGTTCTCTGCGCCCGTTTGATGGTTTATCGTTAAGGATGGGTTCAACTGTTACCAATTCGAATATGTTATTCGTGCGGTTTAATATCTGAAAAATAACCGAAAACTGAATTTACAAATAAAAATATAAGTAGTGCATACTACAGTTGGTACACTAAACTTTAAAAAAAAGTTGCATATTTCTCGTGCAATTGGATTGTAAAACAAACTTCGCATCATTTTCTCTTATCATTTATTTCATTTTAAGAGTCCAACTTGATTCCGACAGAAAAGCGCAATTTATCAGTGCTAATCTTCCATCTGACTGTTGTTAATTAAAAGGGCTCGTTTATTTTAAAACATTCTCTTATTCAATTTACACAAAGAGTGTATGCAAAAAAGGGACTCACTTAGTCAAGTCACATGACGATTTGACAGCAATTTCAGAAAGCCGCGGTCGTTTGATATCCGGAAAAACCGTCAAAAGCAAAAACCGCATACGTCCGTAAAGTCACTTGTTGCATAATATACTATTACTTCGTGCTTTTCAGCACTGGGGCAACGGTCTTTGGGTGTGTACGAATTATTTATTCCATAAAAACTAATCAAACACTATTTGTATGCGCAGCGTAGCCCATAACTTGCTCTTAGTGAAATAAAAGTCAATAGCGTCAGTTTCCATTTTGAGAAATTGGTCTCTTGAGAAGTGCCGAGCCAGTATTTCTCTTCTTCTTAGAGTCAATAATATTCAACTTTCAGAAAACAAACAAAATTTAAAAAACTAGCGATATTTCCACGTAAAAAAAAGCTTTCAAAAATATTCAACTTTAAATGAGCCTTTCTTACATTTCCAGATTTTGCAATTGCTTGGTTAAAAGTTTAATATTGTGAACGGCAAACCGAATGGGCTGAGCCTGTTCCTCAAGCGAAATGCCGCTCGCTGCTCGCTCACTCACTCGGTGTTGAAATGGATATAAATAAAAAAATTAATTAAATGATTAATAGTGTGTATAGTGAATAGTTAGTGACGTTGCTATTTTGGACAACATAAATTCTCAGTAAGTTCACGAGGCATGTATTGTCCGCACCTCGCATCACTTAGTGCATTGATAAATCGTAATATCGTATATTCGAGGAACTCTTTCCATAGTTTTAATAATACGCGATAATCCTCGAAAACCCGCAACTCCCTATTCATTCATGACAAACAAACACTGTTTTCGCACTCATTTTTGACAATTCTGAGGTTCGATATAGTTCGATGTGCTTTAGGTAAGGGCACATATCGGGCACCTAAAGTTAGATATCAAATAGAGTGATACAACTTTATTATCGGAGTTTACCAAGCGAAAGTCTCCCCCAGCCTAAATTAAGGTGTCATCCAGTGTTAGGTGTCAGTTAAAAATGTTAGTGGGAACGGGCGAAATACTGCTTAAAATGTCCAATCTCGTACTTTTTGTACACTAGTGTGTTTGATTATAAAATGCTTTTGACTTTGTTGACATTGATAAGAATAAAAATTTGCGGGGTAGGTACATTTTCCTCGACAATGAAATTATTGGACAACATTGTCGCTGTACGTGTTAATTAAATATCTTCTTCGCGAGGTAAGCGTTTTATCACGTGCCGATCAAAAACCAATTATGTCACAATGGAGGGCGAAAACTGTTAGCTTAATGGCGTTGTAGCACAATAAGCGCATTGTTATGGGGACGCGACCTCGAGACACGAGACAAATTGTTCTCCCCTTTTTCGGAATATTGGACGAATTTGAAACCCTTACCGAGCTAAACTTAAAAGCAGTGAGCGGCCTGACCAGGTCGAACCAATTGGTGATCTTTTTGCCCAACAGGTCGGGCATTATCACCATCAGTGAGTTGCCGATGCTGCGAACGATCATGTCCGATCTGAAACGAAAAGTTATACTCCGTATATTCAGAGAAGAGAGTAATTATAAAGATAGCAATCCAGAGAAAGTGTATTTTATAAAATTTCATTATCACCAACCATATTCTTAATTTTTCCCAGCATATTGGATATGTTGAGTTAAAAATGTTGTTTTACCATACAAATTTTTGACCGTATTTATTTTCTGGTTCTTTGAAATTACGTTGTGGTACTAAAAGGTTTATAGTTGCATTAAACTTTAATTAAATCAAGAGAGAACAAAATTAACAGAATAAAATAAATAAAAATTGAAAACGACATCAAGAGAGATATTTCATATAAACTCAAAAATGAAGCACGTGAGCCATAGTATACGCACGAGTTGATCCAGGTGGTCATCTTATAGACGATTTGACGAGTTTAAGGCAAATAAAAAAGTATAACTCAAAAATACCGCCACCCCTTCCCGCCCAAAAAAAAAACACAAAGTGCAGACACGTGTCCGAGAAATAAGAAATAGATAATCAAAGGGACAGCAATATATCTCGACGCGGAGGACGATAACGAGAGTGCATCCGCGATCATCGTGAAGTTTATTCGCCATTTATTGACTTTATTGAATTACACGGGCCGACATGCCGTGAAGTTTGCCGCTGCCAAGGACGCGCAAATCAAATTCGAAACTTACCCGAATACGATGCAAAACGGAAATATCTCGAACAACACCGACGCGCTTATCGGCAAGTGTTTCTCCTCCCTAGTCATCGTCAGGGAGGCGAGGGTGAACGCGCGATTGTCGAACGTCAGCTGAAAAGTCACGTGGACCATGTCGAACAGCAACTCCTCCCGCACGAGCTCGATTTTCATGTCTTTGTGGTAAAAATGCCGGGCCACCTGCAAACGACTAGCATTACAAACGGAGAAATCTATGTGTATGTATTTTTGTGTTTTTACACCCTGTATGAATATCGACACACTTTAAACAGTTTTTAATAACCGTTATTGCCCTAACGCCGAGGACGGTCGAATCACTAAACCGTTTTCGTTCGAATGCGGAGGCGTGGCCGTGAGAATGACAGTTGACGCCAATTTCGTGGGGGAAGCTACTGCTTATTGTGCGATGCGTTTTCAGTTTTTGATTTCCACAAAATTATATTATATTTTAAAGTTTGTCACTCTGAAATATACACTTTTTCCCTAACCTCATATGTAACCGCGTATTTAACTTTTCAATTTTTAATTAAAATTTAATTTGAACACTGTACTCTGTCTCTGTCCGAATAAGTTTGATCAAAGAGATAATTAAGGTTTCGTAAGAGCCAAAAATGTTGACGTTAAGGACTATACCTCTCTGATCTGCCCCATCGTGTAGTAGACGAATCCCCTCCGTTTGCTGCGATAGTGAAGGGTCAGACCGTGTTTTGTTTCATTCTCGCAAATGAAACTAGGCGCCCTCATTCGCGGATAGGAAAACTTCAAGTACTCGTGCAGATTATCGAGGCCGTTGAGGAAATCGCGCATATGCCGCCCCAGAACGGACAGCACTCTGTCATAGCCGTACTGACTGATGAAACCTATGAAGAAGACGCCCATCTGGTCGAAAAAATCCTTCTCGCTCACCTTCAGTATCTGAGAACGGAAATTTGAAAGAAGTAGATGGGTTTTGTTTGGGGCGGTAGACTCAGAGATGCCAACCTGAACGGCCTTCTTCGAGAGTCTCGGTATGAGCCCCTCTGGATACACTTGGTGCGTGCTGAAACTTGGCTGGTCTACCTGAGCCGCGCGTCTGATTTCCTCCCACTTGTCCTCGCCGTACGTTTGCTTGATGTATTCCGCCATGTTTTCTATTATTAATCCGTACATTTTGCATTTGTCTGCGGAAGAAATACGATTTGACTGACGCGAGATGAAATTGATAATTTAAACTCTAATATCGCTTGAAATAACGCCATCAATTTTTAACGAATATAGAATATTTATGATGACGATAATTATGACAGAAATTTCTAGAAAAAAAAATTCTTAGCTCAAATATTAACAAATGTTTGAAAACCAGCTTCATTTCTTTTCATTTGAATTTTCCATTTTTCGTGGTTATTGCGAGGTATCTCAGTTACAATCCTAGCTGGCCTTGTTTTTGAGATACTTGGTAAAACAGAGAAATTTGCCCTTTTAAGTTATACGTCTTTTAAACACTTTGTATCGTAAAAGATAATAAAAAGGGAATTTAATAGATCTTTTACGTTGAATCCAGTGGCGTGCTCAGATTATTTACTAAAGATATTTTTTTTAAGAGCTAAAGTTATGTTTTTCAAATGCATATTTTTTCAAAATCTAATTTCACTTTTTATACGCTTTTTAAAAATGCATAATTATCTAAATACATATGTTTAAATAATCATATATTTTGAAATATTGGTCTAATCTATTTAAATTTTATTCTGCTATACATATTATTATTGTTACTTTTATTGCTATTGTTACCGTTTACAAAACTGCTGGGTTCCTCCTTCGTCGGCTTCGTCTGAGCTTGACTGAAACTGGTTTCAGTCAAGCTCTGAAGAAGCCAACAGGCTGATTGACGAAAATTTAGCAAGTTCGACTCAGTTAAAACCGACGTAGGAAGAATCCAGAAGTTTTGTAAAAAGTATTACAGTAGCCTGTGGAAGTTTCTTTGAAAAATTATTACTGTTATTATTGCCATTACAAAAAAAAATACTGCAAACACAAACTACAGAATTCAAAAAGAACTGGCCATTTTTCGCATACTTTGCGATTTCTTTTAAAAAATATATAGTAGAATTTTAGGGAAGTATATAAAGTATAAAAACTAATTATACATACTTATTTTTTAAAGTATTTAAGAAGGACGATCGAATTTTTAAAAAGTATGATGGTGTTTCATATCTTTGCCTAACTTAACCTAACATATTATTTATGTTATTATTATTATTGTTATTGCACAGAATGCACGAAATAGAGACTGACGCTTCAAGACAGTTATCGCAAACCTCGAGAATTATTTTTAAAATTTTAGAATTTTAGGGAAGCTAATTAAGTATAAATATTATACATACTTATTTTTTTTAATATTTCCTATTACACATTTTTAAAAAGCGTTTAAAAAGCTTAATCGAATTTTTAAGAAATATGCATGGTGTTTGTGGACTGTATCAGAAAACTTACACTTCTAAAAAAATCTAAGTACAAAGAATCAGTGGAATCAGTTTTTTTTGAAAAATGTATAAAAGATGTAACCTAAATTTACTAATCAAATCAAACCAAAACATTTTAAAAATTATATCTTTTACAAAAAATCTGAGTACGGCACTGGATTGTACAATTGTACGTAAATAAGATTTCGTTTTCATCATCTCATTACGGTACAGCGTGTTTAAAATACAAAGGATGACTGAAGCAAATTTTCCGTTTTGCCCTATACATTAATACAATCGGCATCTTTTGTTTCAGGAAAATCAAGCAGTACTGCGAAAATCGCATTGCTTTATCTCTAATAACAGATATTCGCCCATGCTTATTAACCGAAGTCGCAAGCGAGTAGCAACAACATAAGTTAAGAAAATTGTTTGCATTCATCAAAATGAAAATATGAATGTAATAATGAAAACCCAACATAATCTAGTCGACTACCCGGGACACTAAACTGTTCTTACAGTACAGAAATGAGTAAAGTTGATACGATTACTCGAAGAGTATATAGTAAATAATTCGATCTAAAGCGACCGTAATTAATTTCAGCAAAAGCAATATAAGTCTGTATACAATAACAACACATTTTACAATCACAAAATTTGCGTCAATCGCATCACGTACGGCAGATTAAGCAGTCGAGAATGGATCGGAAACCACATTAATATAATTGCATCCTAAATATAATAAAATACTATGCTTAATAATTGTTATTGTTGTTTTGATTCGTCTGATCGAAGCCGTATGTATCTATTTTTATACGCTCGTTAACAATCAAAGATTGTAGCTTTCGTGGGGGTCATTTTAAACACCTGGAACCATATAACCCATTTTGAAAATTGAACAGAAATTTTAATTATTAAATTATAGTTGGCTAATAGCTATGTTTTCTTTATATTCGTAGTTGTTTTGTGAGTTATAAACTCTTTATTAGATGGTGATCGCTTGCGATGAGGGCAGGAAAGCAGCCTATCACAATTTTGTCCCGTCTCAGTTTGAATCTGGACGGTGATGCCAACTCGTGAGAAATTTCCCGTTTTTCCTTATTTTAGTTCAAAACTGAAAAAAAGGAGCGCAAATCACAATTTTCGTGCAAATTGACTAAAAGAAAGTAAAATAAAAAAAACACGAAGGTCTTGCTCTCAGCATGGCAACCTTTAAAGTTTGGCAACGTCGGGCGGAATGAGATCGGTTTACCCCAGAAGTAATAAATCTCGGTCTTATTCGCCTTTTGCGGTTTTAATTCCGCTAAAGGGGGTACGTGAGCAACGTCAGCGAGGCCCCAAAAGTCGGCGCTTGTCTATTTAGGTCGATACTTTAACCGGTCGACCTAGTTGATTGTTGCGGATATTTCCAACTTGTTGAATGCAGACGCGAGAGAAGCGATCGCGACGCTTTAAGGGAGTTAGGGAGAGCGGCGGGGTCGAGAGGAAATCTCCTTCTTGCGCCCTTACGTACGGGGGTGTTTCCCGTCTACTTGCTCACCCCACCTAAAAGATCACCCGTAAGTGATTAAAAAAAGAATAAGAATTTAAAATTTTCGCAAATAATAACAGTTCGTTTGTATAAAAAATTATCCCTACCTTATGACTTTAATTTTATTATTTTTGCGAAGCTTAAAAAATGTTTACTGCGTTTTAACTTGTTTAATTTTTTAATCTCTTAAGTTGTTTTACATAGTACGTGCCTCGGCTCTATTTTAGTATTCCATTGAAAAAAGAATTGTTTTCATAGGAACAAACAAAAAAAATGACTAGAAACTCTTCAGTGTCGCTTTGCCGCTGTGGATTGTTTCCTACTTACGACGTTGTAAGGGGTTAAATCGCCCGGTTGTCCGGGATTCACTTTTATAATTAGAAGATCGACCCTGGTTTTCGGCAACCGGATATACACATCCTTTTTATTTGCTTCCTGTCAGATAGTCCACATTAAGACAACAGACCGAACTACTTGAACCATTCGCTTGCCAACTCTTGACGTCACGTGACAGTAAACAAGTCAACGTCCACTGTTGCTTTCAGTATAAACTTAGTTGAAGAACCATAAACCTGCACCCTTTCAATGAAACGAACAACAGTAAATTCTAACCTGAATCAAAATCATTTTCGTGTTACTTGTTTGTCTTACGTAACATAAAACAAACTACCTAGGTGTTTCTGGTTTTACTTTTATTGGACAATGGACTTGTTTTCTTGTAAAATAGGCACGCAAAATACAGATAAAAAATATATTTTACATTTACATTTGGGGTAAATATACCTCCTCAAACTTTATTATCGACAATTAATATTTGAATACGTTTTCCCCAATATGAATTTCGACCCTCCCAGGAATTAAATTCTCGAGCAAAGCGCTTGTTTAACTTTGTCTGTTGCTTTGCAGCAGCACGATATACGATTCGAAATTTGAAAAAGTTATAAAGTAAATATTGCAATAGGGCCCGTTGGCCTTATATAGCTACTAGAAATATAGAGAACCTGCGTAGGTACACAAACTTTTGAAGCAACCATGAAAAAATTCAATTATACAGTTTTCAGTTTGGATGCCGTAATTTCCCCAAATCGCGTTAACAGTTCAGTGAAAAACGAGTTACGCGTATGAAGATTGCTATTTAGTAAAAAAATGGTTCAGGTCAGGGTGTGAAATTTTGGGGCATGCGCGAAGACTTCTACGAAAATTACACAATTATGTTTCTATATCTATATCGTCAAATCAATTCTATCACCGAAAGCGTGGGGAGACGAGTGATTTTCCACTCATAATTTTAACGATTTATATTGGCTGCCATTGGACAGACGATTTGCCCGGTGTACTGGTAAATACGTAGAGTTCACGATTCAGAGACAATGGCGGAAGCTTTATGGCGAACCCCAAAATGTATTTCGCATTTTATTATTCCCAATGGCAAACGACAGATCAAAAAGCAAACGTCCGCTTTTATTTTCATACTCTGAATTTTTTTCCCGGGTCTTTTCTCGTACAAAAAAAATCACGGTAGGCTTCGTTATAAAGAAAAATTTATATTTTGCTACAGGAATTCTTCGGGTCGTATTTCGAGGGGTTGAGGGGACGAGGAAGACTTCGATACCCCCAAAATCCAAATGAACCAATTAAGAAAAATATGGGAGAACCGAATCTCGCGGCAATTTGCGTGGGATTAAGGTACGGCGGATAAAAAGAAACACTCGTAATTTTCGCGTGTAAAGGACACTATTTACAAATCTTCTGTATTCTTTCTGCGTCGGTTGTTTATAAATCAAACTTGCTAACGCTTCACCAATCATCCTGATAGCTTTCTCAGATTTTAACTAAAAACTAGCTTGCGTTCTACTGCTTTTATATTGTTTGAGGGAGGCGGATCTAAAGGAAGGCTGATTCTATTCGATAAAACTGAAATTCTTGCATGCAATCGATTCTTCTACTAACGAAAAATCAAATAATCTATAGAAATCTATAAGCAACAAAACAAACTTAACCGCAACTCCTGTGGAAGTTTCTTTGAAAAAGTAACAAACCTTTATGGAGAGGACATCAAACGCAAAAGCGGAAAGTTATGTCAAAACCTCATCTGCTTACAAAAATTCTGCGTAAATCTAGTTTTGCTTTATTTCGATACAGAATTCATCATACCCGTAAAGAAATAGACCAAATCAATTAGACTCTT